CCTAAATTAAGTTCAGGGTTCAAGGTTTGGGTCGAGAGTCAGAGTGGGGGCTGTGCCCAAAGCAGGGTACTGGGTTTCAGGGTTTCCGGGATCGCCTGGCCTTTGCGGTTCTTTATGCGCAGCTCTTCAGCATGTACATGTAGCGCACCTGTGACAGCTATCCCAGGATGCTCAAAAACTACCCTTCGACCCAACAACCCTAGACCGATTCGTGCAGGAACTTTCGAATCATCCTCAAGATTCGGTTCAGGATTTTGCATGTAGCCTAAGTTTTTGCTGTTGTTTACGCGCCTTTGCATGCTCCTCTCGCTCACCGCACCCATTCGGTCACCTCGAAAACCCTAAACCCTAAACCCCCTTGTTGCGTGAGTTCCGCCCTGCGTGGGCGAGGGTTACGTCTGATTTCCGCTCTCTTTGTTTGTTGTGTCAAAACGGACGTCGTTTTTGTCGTACATTCGTTGTTGCGACTTCGGGCTCAACACACACACACACACACACACACACACACACACCATCGTATAGGGGGTTTAGGGGGTTTAGGGTTTAGTGTAGGGACTCCAAAACCCCTTAGTGAAGGAGTATACTTTAAAATTATAGTAGGAACCCTAATAAGATGTAAGGTATATTCCTTAACTCAGGGGTTTTTGGAGTCTTTGGGCACACTCAACACAGACCATCGTAATGGCAATCGCAGGGAATCGCAGCGGCAGTACCAAGACTCAAGGCTGCACACGGCCTAGCCATTGTGAGCATCATCACTACGCAGGAGGCATCAGAACAAGTATTAATTAGGCAAAAAACCTTACCAATAAAAGTTTTTCCCAGTGCATAAAAACACGAAGCCTTGGACACACCGACACCAGACCACCCTCAGAACCTTTCCGCAAGGAGGACGTGGGGTTTAGGATTTGGGGTTTAGGGTTTTAAATTTAGTCAGGGCTCGTCGTTTAGGATAAGTCGTCTTGCGGACTGCACTGCCCCCCTCCAATCGTGTATTAAGGCTTGTGTGATTTTGAGGACTGCAACTTGCTTCAGCATCCCTGCAAGCATAAACCCCGTGTAAACTCAAATGGGTAGTTGTCAAAATTAGGGTCCCTTTTGGGGTACCCAAAATAATAGGTGCCGTATTATAATAAGGACCCCAAAAGGGACCATAATTTTGACAACCACCCAAATCTCTTCTGATTTCGCTTCTCTCAGCACAGCTCTTTATAAAGGCCCGTACCCCACCAACTGAGGGGTATACCTCAACTTATACAGGGGTCCTCCATAAGCCATACTGTTAGCAGACAAGGCTCCAATACCCTTAAACCTTAGACCCTACATCAACCCTAAACCCTAAACCCTAAACTCCCGTAACCCTAACCCGCAAATCCCAAAATCCTAAGTCTTGAGGAAAAAGTATGTGGGTAGTGGTCAAAATTAGGGTCCCTTGTAGGGTCCTTTCTATAAGGGTGCCGTGCCATATCGGGGACCCCATTTTAGGGAACTGCCCATGTATTTTCGGGCGCTTTTAAGCCTTACGCGATGGGACACACGGGTGGTTGTCAAAATTATGGTCCCTTTTTGGGTCCTTATTGTAACACGGCACCTATTATTTAGGGTACCCCAAAAAGGACCATAATTTTGACAACTACCCACATGGTCCGAATCATGCGTTCGAGGAGCACTTCGAGCATGAGGTCCACGAGGCGAGATCGGATCGGGTTTAGGGTCTAAGGTTTAGGGTTTAGGGTTTAGGGTTTAGGGTTTAGGGTTTAAGGTTTAGGGTTTATAGTTTAGGGTTTAAGGTTTAGGCTTTAGGGTTTAGGGTTTAGGGTTTAGGGCTTCTCCGATTGTGCCCGTACGCCCTTCGCGAGCGGGGTCTCCTCGTGAAGGCTTCTTGGGCTGTGCGACTTTCGTGTGCTTTCTTGGTTTGGAGCCAGGGAAGAGGCCCCAAGAAACGGTTTAGGGTTTAATCAACGGTTTAGGGTTCAGGGTTTAGGGTTTAATGATTATCCCCTGAGCCCTAAAACCCCCGAAGCCGAAACCCTAAATCCTAAGCCCTAAACCCTAAACCCGAAACCCTAAATCCTAAACCCTATCACCTGAACCCTAAAAGAAGCGAAATCCTGAACCCAGAGACCCTAAACCCTAAAGACCGTCTCGGAGACGGTCTTGACGGTACCCGAACTGTGTAGGGTTTTAGGGTTCAGGATTTAGG